GACCCGCCCAGCCAGTTTGCGGCACCAGAGCCCCCTGGCGCAGACCCCAGCCCGGCGCCCGCCCCCGCCCCGGCACCATGAAGACGCTTCTCCTCTGCTGCCTCCTCTGGGCCCTGCTGGAGACAGGTGAGAACGGGGCCGGGAGGGTGTTTGGACCCCTACCTGGTGCAGACAGGCAAAGACCCACCCAGGAGAGTTGCTCTGCAGAAAAGGGGCTCCCCCTCCCCGGGTGAAATACACCCCAGCTCTGAGATCTTCTCCCTGGGCTGCTCAGCACCTGTCCCACACGGGGTGGGGGATGGTCCTCACGGTTCTCCCCTGGGGACACGGGGCCTCCTGTGCTCGGATTTCATACACACATAGAACCTCCAGGCTGGCAGAGACCCCAGGAGGCAGCAAAGCAGGAGCAACCCCAACTCAGTTACCCCAGGCAGGGCTTTGTCAAACTGGGACTTAACCACCCCTAGGGATGGAGATTCCACCCTCTCCTTAGGGATCCCGTCCCTGCGCTTCCCCACCCGCCTAGGGAAATAGTTTTTCCTAATATCCAACCTAGACCTCCCCCACTGCAATTTGAGCCCATTGCTCCTTGTTCTGCATCTGTCCCCCCTGAGAACAGCCTCTCTCCAGCCTCTTTGGAACCCCCCATCAGGGAGGTGCAGGCTGCTCTCAAATCCCCCCTCACTCTCCTCTTCTGCAGACTGAACAGACCCAAACCCCTCAGCCTCTCCTCATAGGTCATGTGCTCCAGCCCACGAATCATTTTGGTTGCCTCCGCTGGACCCTCTCCACTGCGTCCACATCCCTCTTGTAGGAGGGGCCCCCAGAGCTGGACACAATGCTCCAGATGTGGCCTCACCTGTGCCAAATGAAGGGGAATGATCACTTCTCTGGATCTGCTGGCAACACTCCTCTTAATGCCCCTAAGATGCTGTTAGCCTTTGCGACAAGGGCGCCCTGCTGAGTGAGATCCAGCTTCTCATGTACTGGAATCGCCAGCCCCTTTTCTGCTGAACTCTTACTTAGCCAGTGAGTCCCCAGCCTGTAACGATGCTTTGGGTTCCTCCCTTCCAAGTGCAGGACTCTGCATTTGTCCTTGTTAAACCTCATCAGATTTTTTTTCGCCCAATCCTCTAATCTGTCCAGGTCACTCTGGACCCGATCCCTGCCCTCCAGTGTATCCACCCCTCCCCCTAGTTGTGCAATAGAGGGATGGACGTCACTGGCACAAAAGCAAGCAATGCCGGGTGAGATCCCAGCTGGGGCAATGGGCCGTAGCTGCATTGGAGTCAATGGGGAAGTCCCCAGCTGAGCCAGTGGCCTGTAGCTCCAGTATAATCAATGGGGCTGGAGAAAGGGCTCAGCACAGATGGATCCTGTTGCCTTTGCTTCTCCAGGGACCTGTGTTTCCTGTGAGGTCTGCCAGAATAAGGGTGACAGCTGCACGGGCCCGGTGCAAGTCTGCAGCAAGGAACTGGATTCCTGTGGGATCATGAAAACAGAATCCATACTAGGTAGGTGCAGAGACCTTGAACCAGCCCAGAACACAGGCTGGGTCGGCGTCAGCCCGCCCAGGACCAGGGGCGGTTGGGTGAGAGCAGGAGGCCTGGGAGCCAGGACTCCTGGGTTTTCTCTGTGGCTCTGCGAGGGGGCTGAGGCTGGGGCTGGTGGGTGGAGGGGAGAGGCTGGGGGAGTCTCTAGTTCAGTGGTCCCCAACACGGTGCATTTGTGTGCATCCGCCAAGTGCTCGGGGCTGGCCTGGCCCTGGGCATGTGGCGCACGGTAAGCGTCGGCCCCGGGAGCGCCGCGGATTGGCCGCCCGCGCTCTGGGCACGCGGCGCATGGGGGAGTGCCGGCCCCGGGCACGTGGCTATGGGGACGGGAGCGGCTATGGGGGGACCACTGCTCTAGTTGGTCCTGGCAGGGCTGTGTTTCTGGTGGGTTAGAGCCGGGGGAGTCAGGGTTCCTGGGTTCTCTCCCTGACTCTGGGAGGAAAGAGGAATCCAGCAGGTGATGGGCAGCTGTGGGCACCAGTCCTGCTGGTTCCCTACTGACCCGGGGTGAGTCGTGCCTCAGTTTCCCTCTCTAGATAGGTCAGAATCACACCTGTGAAGCGTTGCGAGCGGGAGACCTGAAGCCTCATCTCCTTTTCCTCCGATGCAGGGGAGAAGAGCCTGTCCTTTGAGAAGGCCTGCGTGTCCTCCAGCCTGTGCAACCTTGGGCCTCTCTACATGAAATTTGGGAACGGGATCTCCATAAGCAGGAACGTCGCCTGCTGTGTCGGGGAGGCCTGCAAAACAGCCACTGTTAGCGGTACAGCGCCTGCCTTCTTCTCCAGCATAACCGCTCCCGCGCGCCCCCTGCCCTGCCTGGCCCCTTCAGGCCTCCCTGTGGGAAGAGAGAACGGGATTAGGAAAGAGCCTTTATTTCCCCATTGGATAACCCTGAACCCCTCTTTGGGGGGGGAAGTCGGTGGGCGGGGCTCTAGGCTTGCACCACCTGTGAACCGGATCCAGGATTCCCTGCTGCAAACCTCTCCCTGCCCCTGCAACCTCCTGTGGCCGAAAGCTGCAGCGCCCCCTGCAGGGGGATCCAGGGCTGAGTGGTGCTGCCCTCATCTGCTCTCCCTGCCCCGCCACCCCCTGGAGTTCATTGCCTGAGCTGACTGTGTTTGCTCCACTTTTCCCAGTGCCCCCGGCTAACACCACCCTGAACGGCCGGCGCTGCCCAGCCTGCTTCTCTATGTTCTCCCATCACTGCAATGAAGAGATCATCGACTGCACAGGCTCCCAGACCCACTGCCTGCATGTCAGCGGCACAGTGAAAAGAGGTAATTGGCATCCGGCTGTTTCTCTGTCCGATTTCCCCACCCAGGAGAGACCACGCACATGGGCAGGCCCCTGCAGTGAGGAACGTTAAATAGTTCTTTTATATAAAATGTTGGAAGGGAAAGTTGTTTTGAATTACAATAATGAACCAGTCTGATTTTTCCCAGAATTTGTTTTCATGGGGGACTCTTCCCACTGAAACAGTCTGACGAATCTGAATTCACAAAATATGTTCACATTTCTATTTTTAACAGCAGAAAGGTTTCACTTGAAAAATCTCAGAGCACAAGAGAATGTCTGAGCACTCTCTGGCATAGGAGAGGAAATATAATTGAAAAGGGAGAAGTGCACTATGATTAAATTAAATGCTTTTCCCAGCCAATAACCCGTTAATCTTTGGAACTCCCCACCACTGCAAACTGCTCTGGTCAAGAACTATGTAAAATTCTAAAAGATTCTTGTTTATCAGGAAGAGCTGGAGAGATCATAATGCATGATCAGAAAACTGTTGAACCTTCTTTTTCCAGTCTTACACGGATTTCTTGGTATTAGTGATATCCCTCATATCAGTGGTTTGGATACCTTTGTGTGCAGCATCTAGTGCTGGCCGCTGATTGAGGCAGGATACTCTCCTGTGCACAATGCCCTGAACAAAGTTCCCCAAACTGCCTTGGTGTCTCTCTCTTTGTAGAATAGCAGGCTCTAAAGTAATACAGAAAAAGTGACAGTACAAACACACCCTGCCTGGGTCTGCTGCAGAAATTTCCCAGCTGGGGGGACCCGGAAGTGCCAGAGATATTTCTTTTTTACTGGTTGTGGAACAGTGTAACAGATGCCCCAACTGAGTTCGGGGCCTTTTTACTCCAACTGTTGCACAGACCCCTTGGCTGAGCGGTGAATCCTCTGCTGCACACTTGCCTTTGCCAAAATTAGGAGTCCCTATGTGCCAGGGTCTGTACAGGCCCGAGTTGCTCTGCCCCGGGCTTCCTGGAATCAGCTGCTGATCAGTTTCAGCAGCAGCTGACTTGGGGACGCCTGGGGTTCTTAAGTTGATTCTGTATGTAAGTCGGAACTGGCGGTCAGTTTCAGCAGTGTCTGAATCTGGACGCCAGTTCCGACTTACATACAGATTCAACTTAAGAACAAACCTACAGTCCCTATCTTGTACATAACCCGGGGACTGCCTGTAAAACATTGGAAGGGAAAGTTGTTTTGAATTACAGTAATGAACCAGTCTGATTTTTCCCAGAGTTTGTTTTCATGGGGGTCTCTTCCGACTGAAACAGTCTGACGAATCTGAATTCACAAAATATGTTCACATTTCAATTTTTAACAGCAGAAAGGTTTCGCCTGAAAAATCTCAGAGCACAAGAGAATTTCTGAGCATTCTCTGGCATAGGAGAGGAGATATAATTGAAAAGGGAGAAGTGCACTATGATTAAATTAAATGCTTTTTCCAGCCAATAACCCGTTAATCTTTAGAACTCCCCACCACTGGAAACTGCTCTGGTCAAAAGCTATGTAAAATTCTGAAAGATTCTTGTTTATCAGGAAGAGCTGGAGAGATCATAATGCATGATCAGAAAACTGTTGAGCCTTCTTTTTCCAGTCTTACACGGATTTCTTCGTATTAGTGATATCCCTCATATCGGTGGTTTGGATACCTTTGTGTGCAGCATCTAGTGCTGGCCAGTGACTGAGGCAGGATACTCTCCTGTGCACAATGCCCTGCACAAGGGTTCCCCAAACTGTCTTGGTTCTATCTTTTTGTAGAATAGCAGGCTATAAAGTAGTACAGAAAAAGTGACAGTACAAACACACCCTGCCTGGGTCTGCTGCAGAAATCTCCCAGCTGGTGGGACTTGGAAGTGCCAGAGATATTTCTTTTTCTTGGTTGTGGAACAGCGTAACAGATGCCCCAACTGAGATTGGGGCCTTTTTGTTCCAGGTGTTGCACAGACCCCTTGGCTGAGAGGTGAATCCTCTGCTGCACACTTGCCTTTGCCAAAATTAGGAGTCCCTATGTGCCAGGGTCTGTACAGGCCCTTTGGATGAGAACTGGTTAAGGATCCCACTACTGCCACCATCAGTGAGCAAAACCATTGCCAGGTGAATGGTGGGACTGTTAGAGTTTGTTAGAGATCAGGGGTTCACTGAATGACGCTGAATCAGAGCAGAGGAAGGGAGACCGTTGTGGGGATCCCAGATGGGCAGCAGCGAGTGGCTCAGAGGGGAAAGGGAACCATGTTGTATAGGACCAGAGACATAAAAGGCGTTCCCAGACACTGACCCTCTTGCTTTGTCCCCGACAGGTGAGACAGCCATGAAGATCAAGGTGAAAGGCTGCACCACTGAGTCTTCCTGTACTAACAAAGAGATCTTCAAGGAGTTTGATGCAAATACCACCACGGCTGAATGCAGCCCAGCCTCCTCCCGCGTAGCCACTGTGGCTCTGGAACCAGCCGGACTCGTCCTGCCAGCCCTCCTTACCATCCTGCTGGTGAATGGCCTCTCCTGATCGCCCTCCTGTGGCACAGCCCAACTGCCCAGGGGAGCCATGCTGGTGGTGACAGGGCTCGGATTCACTTCCCCTGGAACAGGATTAATAGAATAAAAGAGACACGAGAAAACTGGATGGGAGCAGGTGTCTGTGTGTGTGTGTCTGGGAGGGGGATGGAGAAGGGGACTGATTCTTGGATCGTGTGTGTGTGGGGGGGCAGATTCTTGGATCCTGTGTGTGTGTTTGTAATAGTGGATCTCAGATATTGTGTGTCTTCCTGTGTGTGATCATGACTGTTTGACTCTGTGGCTGTGTCTACACTGCAGGCTCATTTTGGAAGAAGCTTTTCCGGAAGAGATTTTCTGGAAAAAACGTCTTCTGAAAGGGAGCATCCACACTGCCAAAGCACATCGAAAAAGTGATCTGCTTTCTCGACAGATAGTGTCCACACTGAATGGACGCTCTCTCGCATGTGAGCTGTGGTTACTGTGGGTGGAGTGGCTACCAGGGCACCTGTGCTTTTCCCTCTTTCCTCTCTTGGGAAAACACTTCCTCTTCCCCCTCCACACAGGCCTTTTTCCAAAAGAGTTCTTTCAGAGAAAGGCTTCTTCCTCGTGGAATGAGTGTTACCAATGCTGGAAAATCCCCTCTACTCTTTCGATTTCCTTTCAAAAGAACGCGATTGCAGTGTGGATGTAACCCAAGTTTTTTCGGAAAAATGGCCATTTTCCCTAAAAATCTCTGCTGCATTGACATACGTTGTGCGTGTGCAATCATGAATCTTGGAGCATGTGTTCATTGGTGTGTGATAACCAGTGTCAGATCCTGTGTGTGTAATCGTGCCTTTGACTGTGTGTGGCTAAGTATTGTGTGTGTGTCTGTGTGTGTGTGTGTGTATGGATCAGGTGTGTGATAGTGAGTCCAGGGTTGTGTGGTGTGGATCTGGAGATTATTTGTGTCTGTTGCTGGTGGTCTGATGGATTTCCTCACATTTAATTTTAGTGGGGCCCTGGGGGTGTTAGAAGCCTTGTTCTGAGTCTGATTGGAGCTAGGATAAGCCCTTGTAATGGAATGCGGGAGAGAATACACACAGGTGCACACACACACACTCAGACACACACACACACACGCATACACACACAGAGAGAATGCAGCCTGCACAACCGTCTCCTGGGCCACCCCTCTGACAGGCCCTTGTGCAGGAGGGAAATGAGGTTGGTTTATTTGTGGGGCCTTTTACAGCCTAAAGGAGTCCCACTTTTTGTCATAAACTTGAAAATATGTTCCCCTCCCCCGCTGCTGTGAATGTGGTTTTATGGTGGGGCCACCAGCCAGGGCTGGAAACCCGCCGGTTTCCGGCATACAGCACCTCTTGGAAAGATCCCTGGGCTGGGAGAGAACCCCAAACTCGGGCTGGGGGAAATGAACACAGGCGCCTTTAACATTGGACATAAAGGAGACGCATCTGCAGCCCTGTGGTGCCTCCTGTCTCCAGGCTCCGAGCCCCCAGCTCCTACTGGCCACGGTTCCCCGTTTCTGATCACTGGGAGCTGCAGGAGCGGTGTCTGCAGGCAGGGACGGCACATGGAGACCCCCTGCTCTGCCTCTCACAGGGGCCGCAGGGACAGGCCAGCCACGTCCAGGGGCAGCAGTGACCACGGGGTGATGACTCCGGCCAGGGCAGGTTCTGCATTTGAGAACTCACTGCTCACAGAAATAAACGTAAGGGTAAGAGAGAAATGAACATGATGAAATGCCCAGAGCAGCCAAACCCCCAAACCACCCCACTCTGCAAGCAGGGACAGAAATAACCACGACCCCCCACGTGTGTGGTGTGGCACAAAAGCCTCCACCTGAGCTTTTGCTTGATGTCCATGAACGTTTCCAGGAAATACACTAAACTCTAAGGCTGCGTCTACACGGGCAAGATTTTGCGCAAATACTTTTAACAGAAAAGCTTTCTTGCACAAGAGAGCGACTACACTGGCAAGGATGCTTTTGCGCAAAAGCACAGCTCTTGCACAAACATAAGAACATAAGAACGGCCGTACTGGGTCAGACCAAAGGTCCATCTAGCCCAGTATCCTGTCTGCCGACAGTGGCCAGCACCAGGTTCCCCAGCCTCTGACAAACAGAGGCCAAGGACACCATTTCTATCCCTTGGCTAATAGCCTTTTATGGACCTAACCTCCATGAAATTATCTAGCTTCTCTTTAAACTCTGTTATAGTCCTAGCCTTCACAACGTCCTTTGGCAAGGAGTTCCACAGGTT